TTCATATCAGCCTTTAGGTCTGGTAGGAATGTTAGGAGGGACCCCCAAGTTAAAACACAAAAAAAGTGCGTGGGGTTCCCCTCAAAATCCCTACCAGACCCAGAGCCCGCACTGACCACCCGGAGCCAGCACTGACCACCCGGAGCTCACTGACCACCCACAGCCCGCACTGACCACCCGGAGCCCGCACTGACCACCCGGAGCCCGCACTGACCACCCGGACCCAGTACTGCCCACCCGGACCTCACTGACCACCCACAGCCCAGCCCGCACTGACCACCCGGAGCCAGCACTGACCACCCGGAGCTCACTGACCACCCACAGCCCGCACTGACCACCCGAAGCCCGCACTGACCACCCGGAGCCCGCACTGACCACCCGGAGCTCACTGACCACCTAGAGCCTGAACAGCCTCCTGAGAGCCTGCACAGTCCTCCCTGAAACCCCGCGCAGCCCTCTTTAGACATCAGGACGTGAACGCGGAGCAACACAAGTATGTAGTTTCATATTATTCTGCATTGCTGGGATTTGTAGTCCTCTATAGCCGGTGCCATTCTGCATTGCTGTATAATGTATTGCTGGGATTTGTAGTCCTCTATAGCCGGTGCCATTCTGCATTGCTGTATAATGTATTGCTGGGATTTGTAGTCCTCTATAGCCGGTGGTATTCTGCATTGCTGTGATTTGTAGTCCTCTATAGCTGGTGGTATTCTGCATTGGTGTATAATGTATTGCTGGGATTTGTAGTCTTTCTACAACTTGGGAGTCAGTGGCAGATCTACCATGCTCACAGCCGCAGCCAGGCCATGGGCCTCCACCACTGACTCCAAGCTGTAGACTGGGACCCCAGGAAAGGCGGATCGATGGTTCAAATAGTTGCTCACAATCATAAAGAAAACTGGGTGGGGTGTTGGGACCAGTGACCCCGGGGAATCCTCAACAAGTGTTGCATCGAATTCTGTTCCCCCATAGACGCTGCTGCACGGAGGAGGAGCGGCTAGTGGAACTAATATCGATGGGGGAACACCGGAATCGGACCCTGTGCTGTGAGCTGAACTCTCTGAGCACACACACCCCTCCTCCTCAACACCCCGGGCAGCACAGCATGCCGGTGATGTATCGAAAGTGCGAACTTATCGAGTTGTGGGACCGCATCACCGGGACATGTAGTAGTGCGCTCTCCGCTCCGCCTCCTTTCTGTCATGTGATTCTGTCTCCATGGTAACCGGCGGCGGCCCGTCTCCATGGTAACGCTGTGCAGCGAGATCCACGGAGAAGCATGAGCCAGACTGTGACCACTCAGAGCCGGCCGGGCCCCGGCGGCCCCTACAAAGCCAGCCGGACTTACGACTTCCTCTACGGTAACGGGACACCGAAACCGAGCACCCCTAACACCTTAATCTCCATCTCACCTGGGGATCCTAGGCTAGGAAGTGAAGGGGTGCGTTGTAATTGATGGTTGCCCCATGTAGGGGGGAGTCCTATGTATGAGATCTCTCCTATCTAGACAGGAAGTGATGAAGTGTGTGCTGGGGTTCCTGGGTCTGTACACACGATGGGGTCATTATGGGGGTCCCGTCATCCAGGCTGGTTTTATATATATTTCATATCATGGAGAATACAGCAGGTGGGAACACCTAAACCCCAAGAAGGTGACGTACCCCATCAGACCCCACTGATGAGGGAAATCTCCCTTCTGGGTGCGCTAATGTCACCACAAACCTTGCTGACCCCCAACATAGTCAGATGACCCCCAATGTATCTGATGACTCCCCAACTTACCTGACCCCCAACATAGTCTGATGACTCCCCAACAATCTGACCCTCACCATCCTGACCCCCAACTTACCTGACCCCCAACATAGTCTGATGACTCCCCAACAATCTGACCCTCACCATCCTGACCCCCAACTTACCTGACCCCCAACATAGTCTGATGACTCCCCAACAATCTGACCCTCACCATCCTGACCCCCAACTTACCTGACCCCCAACATAGTCTGATGACTCCCCAACAATCTGACCCTCACCATCCTGACCCCCAACTTACCTGACAAACTTAGCTGACCCTTACCAACCTGACCCCAAACTTACCTGACCCCCAATGTATCAGATGACTCCCCACAACCTGACCCCCAACTTAGCTGACCCTCACCTACCTGACCACCAACTTACCTGACGCTCACCAATCTGACCTCCAATGTATCTGATGATCTCCAATTACCTGACCCTTACCAACCCGACCTACCTATATGATGTCCCCCACCTTAAATGACCCTTACCAACCTGACCTCCAACTTATCTAATGATCCTCACCAATCTGACTCCCAACTTGCCTTACCCTTATCAACCTGACCTCCAATTTACTTGATGACCCCAGCACAATCTGACCTCCACTTTTAACATGACCTCTGACAAGATAATCCTGTGCTATCTGATAACTCTTTAAGCCAGCCCCCCCTCCCTTTTATATGGTGACAACAGTACCTGATCTCTCTACTGACCCCTCCCCCCCATATAGTGACCCCAGTACCTGATCTCTATACTGCCCGCCCCTCA